ACAAACTTGCTGAGGGTGCAATCTATCCCCTCATCCAGGTCATCAATGAAGATTTTGAATAAAACTGGCACTAGAACCATTCCTTGGGGCACTCCATTTGTAGCCAACTGCCAACCAATCTAGCCAGCCATTGGGCCCGACAATCTAGCCAGGTTTCTATCCACCTTACAGTCCATTTATCCAGTCCATATTTTCTTAACTTGCTGGCAAGAATATTGTGGGAGACCGTATCAGAAGCTTTGCTAAAGTCAAGGTATATCACATCCACTGACTTCCCCATGTCCACAGAGCCAGTTACCTCATCATAGAAGTTAATCAGGTTGGTCAGGCATGACTTACCCTTTGTGAATCCATGTTGACTATTCCTGATCACTTTCCCCTCTTCCAAGTGCTTCAAAATGGATTCCTTGAGGATCCCCTCCATGACTTTTCCAGGGAATGAGATAAGGCTGACTGGTCTGTAGTTCCCTGGATTGACTTTCTTCCCCTTTTTAAAGATGGGCACTACATATGCCTTTTTCCAATCATCCAGGATCTCTCCCTCCCCAATGCTATATGGCTACATTCTCACCCTCTCATCTTTTCTGCATTATTCTCCCAACCCCCTCCCACTCCTAAACTCCCTCTCGTATCCTCACCCCACACCCTCTTCTGCTGCCAAACTCCCTTCCAGACCCTGCCCTGCTCACCTCTTCCTGCACCTCACCTCCTGCCCAGATCCTGCACCCCTATCTCTATCCCACTCTCTGGCAGCACTGTCCTGCACATTGAACCCTTCATTTTTGTTCCCACCCCAGAGCCTAAGGGAGGTCCACGAAATCCACTAACTCTGGAACCCCAGGAAAGTAAATCTGGCCTATGGGAAGCCCTGAACTTCAGTCCTCCCCGGTCCCTTCCCCTTGCCACCTGAAGAGTGAGGTGTTTCAGTACTCTACCCCTGCCAGAAATAAAGAAAACACTGAAACCTCTTGTGTTGGACATAAATTAATATTTACTTTATTTAAAAATAAATTTGATAAATTAACATGCGAAAGTTAAAACGCTTAATTTGTTTAATAATTTAAATTAAACCATTCTCCCCAGCCGCCCCTGGTTAAGAAATTTTGGTCACCATACCCAGCCTGCCCCTGCTTTCCTCCCCCACCTCTCTCTGGCACATACTTCTGTAAATAGAAGTGAATAAGCTAAATCTTGGCATGTCACTTGTGAAAGGTTGCTGACCCCTGACTTGCAGTGTAAATAGAACAGACAGAGTGGGAGAGTGTTACTGTCATTTTAGGTATGTGGAACTGAGACATACAGACTAGGTCTGTGGTTCCCCACTGCCGGTCTGCAGACCAGCACTGGCCAGTGAAGTGGGCCGTTGCCCAGCGCCTCGCCTTCTACCGCAGCTGTTGGGAGAGGCATGTCCTGCTCCACCTCTCAACCAACCAGTGCTCTGCAGGGGCAGGGTCTCCTCCTGGAGTGGTAGAGCAGTTTGCTGCTCTGCAGGAGAGCTGTGTGGAGCCAAGGACGGTAGCCTTAGAGCAGCTGTGACCCAGGCAGCAGTGCTCAGGTGGGAGGCAGTGGAGGGCTATGTGAGGGGGGCAGGGCAGGCACTGGGGCAGCAGGATAG